TGAATGCTGCTGTGCTGCCACCTACTGGCCGTATATGGTAAATGTAGAGGATTGGTGTTGTCATTTTAATATGTTTGATTCTCTGTTTTAGGAGACTGCAGATTACTCTAATGTCCAAGAGCTGAAGTATTTAGAAATGGTTATATGCGAGACTCTCAGACTCTACCCACCAGCGTTCAGGTATGACAGCTATTACTTCATAACCGGTTCAATCACATGCAAAGAACCACAAGCATGCAAGAATATTAATTACACTGTTACGGCTCTTACACATTTCTACGCTTTAATTACTTGGAAACACATCTATTAGAAATAAAGCAAAATGGTTTTGGGTGTTAGACTGCATTGCACTTTTTCCCCAGAGTGAATCTTGGGTTTTGTGTATTTCATCACAGGGTTGCACGGGATGTTGATCAAGACACTGTGGTGAACGGCCAGCTTCTGCCTAAAGGATCATCTCTGGAAATACCTGCAGGTTACCTTCACTATAACCCAGAGCACTGGACCGAACCTGAGAAATTCATCCCGGAGAGGTAAACTATCTTTCAGTCAGGTCTTTCAAAGCAGAACAGTTTCTGTAGATCATGATTCTAGTATGGTTATCATATGGTTAATAGTTTTCTATGAGCTAGTCAAATTCAGTGATATACACTGTTCAAAAAAATGAAAGGAACACTTTGAAAACACGTCAGATCTCAATGGGGAAAAATATCATGCTGGATATCTATACTGATATGGACTGGGTAATGTGTTAGGAACGAAAGGATGCCACATCGTTTGATGGAAATGAAAATGATCAACCTACAGAGGGCTGAATTCAAAGACACCCCAAAAATCAAAATGAAAAAATGATGCAGCAGGCTAGTCCATTTTGCTGAAATTTCATTGCAGCAACTCAGAATGGTACTCAGTAGTTTGCATGGCCCCCACGTGCTTGTATGCATGCCTGACAATGTCGGGGCATGCTCCTAATGAGACGACGGATGGTGTCCTGGGGTATTTCCTCCCAGATCTGGACCAGGGCATCACTGAGCTCCTGGACAGTCTGAGGTGCAACCTGGCGGTGTCGGATGGACCGAAACATAATGTCCCAGAGGTTTCTATTGGATTTAGTTCAGGCGAGCGTGGGGGCCATTCAATGGTATCAATTCCTTCATCCTCCAGGAACTTCCTGCATACTTTTGCCACATGAGGCCGGGCATTGTCGTGCACCAGGAGGAACCCAGGACCCACTGCACCAGCGTAGGGTCTGACAGTGGGTCCAAGGGTTTCATCCCGATACCTAATGGCAGTCAGGGTTCCATTGTCTAGCCTGTAGAGGTCTGTACGTCCCTCCATGGATATGCCTCCCCAGACCATCACTGACCCACCACCAAACCGGTCATGCTGAACGATGTTACAGGCAGCATAACGTTCTCCACGGCTTCTCCAGACCCTTTCACATCTGTCACATGTGCTCAGGGTGAACCTGCTCTCATCTGTGAAAAGCACAGGGCACCAGTGGTGGACCTGCCAATTCTTTTGTTCAATGGCAAATGCCAATCGAGCTCCACGGTGCCGGGCAGCGAGCACAGGGCCCATTAGAGGACGTCGGACCCTCAGGCCACCCTCATGAAGTCTGTTTCTGATTGTTTGGTCAGAGACATTCACACCAGTGGCCTGCTGGAGGTCATTTTGTAGGGCTCTGGCAGTGCTCATCCTGTTCCTCCTTGCACAAAGGAGCAGGATATGACCAGTATGGTCCTGCTGATGGGTTAAGGACCTTCTACGGCCCTGTCCAGCTCTCCTAGAGTAACTGCCTGTCTCCTGGAATCTCCTCCATGCTCTTGCCTTCTGACAATGGGTTGGACTCCCTGTGCAACCTCTGTAGGGTCCAGGTATCGCCTCATGCTACCAGTAGTGACACTGACCCTAGCCAAATGCAAAACTAGTGAAAAACAGTCAGAAAAGATGAGTAGGGAAAAAAATGTCAGTGGCCTCCACCTGTAAAACCATTCCTGTTTTGGGGGTCGTCTCATTGTTGCCCATCTAGTGCTCCTGTTGTTAATTTCATTAACACCAAAGCAGCTGAAACTGATTAACAATCCCCTCTGCTACTTAACTGACCAGATCAATATCCCAGGAGTTTAATTGACTTGATGCTATACTCTGATGTTCCTAAACGTGTTCCTTTAATTTTTTTGAGCAGTGTATACTGTATGTGATACAGCAAATCAGCCTATTAGAATGATTTCTGAAGGATCATGTAAGACTGGAGTAATGGCTGCTGAAAATTCAGCTTTGGAATAAATTACATATTAAAATAGGAAACAGTTATTTTAAATTGTAATATTATTTCACAATATTACTTTTTTGGATGCATTTTAAATAAATGTTATTTGATGATGAGCATAATGTTATCAAAAGCATTGAAAATATCATGCTGGCCTTGAACTTTTGAATTCTGTGTATCTCAGAGAATATCTTCAAATCTACTCTGTGGATGTTCTGTAGATATTTTTTAACAAGCTGTAGACAGATCTCTGTCCATTTTGTTTGCATGCCTCCTGTGTGATATGCTCACAATGAACTCTGTATTTGTCTCAGGTTCACTCCAGAAGCCAAGGCCAGCCGGCACCCGTTTGTGTATCTGCCGTTTGGAGCGGGGCCACGCAGCTGTGTGGGCATGAGATTGGCCCAGCTGGAGATTAAAATGGCTCTGCTTCACATATTCAGACGGTTTGACATGATGGCTTGCGAGGACACTGAGGTTTGTTATTGTTACACTGAAAAACTGCAGCTGTAGTATGCATGAAGATTCTGTTTTCCACATATGTAAAGGTTTCCTGAGATATGGTCTATATATTCTGTTTATGTCACACAGGTTCCTCTGGAGTTGAAGTCGCAAACCACCCTCGGACCCAAGAATGGTATTTTGGTCAAAATCACCAAGAGGGAGAATTTTGAGGATTTTTGAGTCTGGATAGATTTTAGTTGTCAGCTGGACAGTCTGATTCTAATCAATTCTAATCAAATTATTTAGAAATCTAAACTCTTATTCTGGAATAATCCAGAATAATCACCTGATGACTAAATCATATGCATCTGTGCTACTCATTTAAATTAAATGCAATTCAACACTATACAACTAAGGCACAGATGTACACAGAGCAATGCATCACACAGTACATAATGTGGATATTATTCTAGTGAACACTATCAGCCTTTATATTTCTCATCTCAGATCAGCAACATAAGAGTGATCATTACTATAAGAAACCACCCAGATGACTAACAGCACATATGCACATTTTGTTACTAAAGCCAATGAAATGTAAGTCCCTTAAATGTAAATACAACAAATTATATGGAAGAAAATCAGTTTTGATTTAGATGTAAATTATTTGATAGAAGGAATTGGGATTGGACACGTCTTGCCTTATTGCCAGCAAGATATTTGAACTTCTGATGATTATGCTGTTATTTGACATTTTATATTACATTAAGCTGCAATGAAGTTCCAGAATGATGTGATTTTTAAGGTTTGGGTGTACAGATTGTGCTGCAATGTGATTGTTTACTCAGGGTATGAACTGTATAAACTCTAAATGATTTGAAATCAAAAGTGTTACTTAATAAATGGTTTATCAGTCAGAATATATGTAGTTATCTTCAATTACACATTTAATTTGATATCAGGCATCTTAGATTCACACATCAAAGGAATGTATAAATGTTATGATTTCGGGAGCTTTAAACCACAGAGCTTTTAGAGGTTTGATTAACAGAAGAACTCTTTGAGAGCTAGTTTTGGTAAATAAAAATCTAGCGTAGCGTTAGTTCTGGCAGGTCACGTTAGTCAAGCTCGCATCAGCTGACTCTCAGCTGATCCCCATCTACCTATAGGAATACGACACCTATCTAAGCATTCATATATAAGGTCCCTCAGTATTATCAGCAGTTTTCACATTGCTCAATTGCAATAATAATAATCAATTGCTAATTACCCTCCTCCATCCCCAACTCCTCCTCTGTCAGTCAGGATTCAGCCTTCTGATTCTCCTTTGAATCAGACTAATTCTAAAATGTGTACATAACATTATTGAACTTTAACGATATCTGCAATACGTTTATGTTGGTTCTGTTTACCCTGGGGGGTTATTGCTGCTCTCCCTGCTCTCATCCATGCTAGGCTGAATGGATGCGCAGGGAGTTCTTGCCCAGAACAGAACCATACCGCCAATCCAAACTGTATGCTAGTTGTCAATCATCTTTGACGATAGTGGTCCTGACAGAACCAATTTACTGTAAAAAAGGGACAGTTCTTTCTTGGCCAGAAAAGCCTTGTCTTGTCACAAGATCCGTTTTCCAAGACTTCACTTCTCAGTTTAACCACTAGAGGTCACAGTGACTAGAGAATTTACAATATCTGTGATTTCCTGGTTAATGTCCTGCTTCCTTTTGCCTGTGTCTTAATCTGTGATTTTGTTTTGGGTATTAAGTGCTGCAAATCATTCCTAGTTGTTTGTCAAACTGTATTGTTTATAGCTGTGCTGTACTTTGCATATCAGCCTTTTCCCAAAGGTCCAGGAATGTGATGGGTGAAAACTGTAAGCAAAAGTTCCAAGTCAAATACCAGCTGAAAGACTGATATGTATTTAAAGGGATAGTTCACCCAGAAACTTTTGTTTTTATGTACTTAGCCCAAACACAGAAGGTGGATGTCTTTATGCAACATAGAACTGGTCCATACGACTCTTACACTATATTTCAAGTTCTCAGAGTCTGAACGTAGATGATAACTTTTTGTGAAAAATAGAATGACCGATATTGAAGGTGTAGACATCCACCCTAGTTTTTCTTAGCACATTCATGAGAGAAGTAGCCATTTTTGTTTTGTTGATTTTTTTTTATCGACTGATCCTATTATTATTATTATTGTAAAAAATAAAATGCATTTAAAAAAAAAAAATTGAAGTTGAAGTTTAACTCACTATTGACTTGATCCAACCTCACCTGTTTCTGTTTATTTATTTGAGAATTTATTTTCTTTTTTTACAATAATGAAAATAATAGTTTGTAACAGTATCAGTACTTTAATTCCATCCACCTCATTCAACAACATGAATTACATAAAAATCTAAATGGGCACGAGTAATGCTCAGTATTCATACAACTGTAACTAAATCATTTACTTTTCATACTGTGTTTTTATCTAGTGCAATAAAATGTATTATTTATTGATTGATAGTTAGTGGTAAGCTTTTGGCTATACAGTTGATTAGGAATTTCTTAAAACTCTTTTTTTTTCAGTGCCATAGCCAACAAGGAAATACAATCACTGCAGTTAATACATAAAGACCTCTACATAAAATCCTGCTATTTTGTATTTACCATTTTAACTACACAGTGGAGTGTCACAGAGAATTTATTAGTAAAATTAATTATGATAAAACACAGTTACCCATTACGTAATCCCTACAAATTTTACTTAGAAGATGCCCAAGAGTTGTAGATTTTGGTTATGTTCAGTGATGTTAACATAAATCGTCTGTGTAACAGGACTTTCAAGAAATATGTAGACAAGGAGACCTTTACTATACAAATTAAGAGTATTCAATAATGTACTCAGGATAGATCTGGAATTTCTCAAACACAACAAAAATGGCTGGGTTAGTCTCATTGTCAACACAGCTGTCATAAAAGCTTTGAGTGTTGGGTTTCTGTGGAGGATGGACTAAAGTATTGTTACCCCTTGTGAAGTTTCCCACCAGCACCAGTGCCACGAACATCTTCTTGGTCTTGCCGTTCCTGGATTTTGCATATCTGTCAGAGTATGAAGCATCTCTGGCAAAATAGCTGCCTGTAAACAAAAAAATAAATAAACACATTCAAAAATGTCCAATGTTTGGGAAAGCATTCAATAACTCTTTGATTGTAGGCTACTGTTATACATATATGTAAATACCTTTCCCATAAAGTGTCCCGTGACTTCCACAGATCCTCCAGTCAAAGTTTTGCTCACAAATTGCTGCTATGAGAGACTCATCTGTACCATGGAAAAGGTAACGCTGGTCAACTGCACTCCCTCCATTTCTCTTATTCATCTGTTCTTTTTGCCTAGGAAAAAACATGGTATAATGGATTAATCAGCTCGATAAATAGAGTGTACCATATTGAAAATACTACTAATAATTATCTGCTAAACATTTTAATATTTATTAATAAGTGTACATTGTACATTATACAAAGTGTATTTATGTATTAAGTGTATTTAAACCAGACTTATAAATATTACTATTAAAAAATACATTATTTTATATGTTTGCATAATAAATACATTTTATATAATGTATTTATAGTTAAATATAAATATTCATATGAAATGTTATTACATTCATAATAATGTCACAACAAATATTTTTCAGATTAAGTATTTGTTTACTTTCTCATCACACATAGTTAATGTGTTGAACTACATCTGTGTGATCTTGAGGAGAACTGACTTCATACACCCACCAGAATGGCTCAGAAAAGTCAAGTTAGTTCTGACAAAAGCTCTAGCATCATTTGTTTGAAGATCAAAAAGATACATAGTATAGCTGAAGTACTGTATGTAATGGCCTTGTGCAAATAAACTTTCTTCCAGTAAAGTCATGCTGTTGTTGTTTTTCTAGTAGTGAAATATGAACAAACGTACCACTGAAAGACCCTCCAGAGAGAGAGATTCTGCACTCTTTCAAGGCTGTGAATGATGCTTCTGGGCAGTGTTCTACTAAACATTGAGCTCACCCTTTGGTATTCATTGGAAGAGCTTTGTAGAGGAACAGTCTGAGGAGAGTCAGGAAACAAACTGGTTTCATTTCAGAAATTCAGTACTGTTATGGTACAGATGACTGTTGGTGCCTGATGCTTTCCAACAAACGTATAAACTTTGTGATGTTCCTCATCTGTAAGTCGCTTTGGATAAACTGCTAAACAGTAAGAGTAGAAGTATTGATCTTCATCTATAACCCTAAGTACAGTACAGAATTGATTTCCAAAGTGCTTAATAACTACTTGACCTCCCTGTACTCAGTGTCATTGGAATATGTACCTTGTAGGTGAAGTTATCAAGAGCTCCTTTGTCCCAGTAAGGTGGAACTTCCACAGAAGAAGATGCTGAGCTGTCTGGAGACTCACTTCTAATTAAAACACAATACACTAAAGTGCACTGAACACCTAATAAATCCTGTTTAATATGTGTGCATGTAATGGACAAATGGTACAGTATCTCATACCCCTTGATTTTGCTCTTGACATCTTGGGCAGAAACAAAACGTGGTCTCCTTCTAACGTCTCTTTCAGTTTTGTACTTCAGATTTTGCTGGCAGTAATATCTGCCATTTATAGGGTAGATGGTGGTGAAAACGGGCACACTTGTCTAGAGGAACATAAATAATGGGATGGTAAAGAAAACACACTTAAACAAATATTTCTTGCTTAACTTAAAGGGGTTCTCAACCATTGCTGGTCGCATTTTTAGATACAATAGTTATTGTGCTTCCATGCCCTCCTGTAACAGAATTAAGCTGTGTTATTTTAGTACAATTGATATGCTATTGTAGTTTTATTCATATTTTGAATTAGATTTTATATTTTCACTTTAATTTGAATAAAAATTCATTATTTTATCTAATAATTTTAGCTGAAGTAAAATAAATGCACGTTTTATTTTATTTAATTTCAAGTCACATATTTTACATTGAAAATGGTAGCAGCTGTTTTGGGGCTCTCAATGATACTTCTTCATATTTACCACTTGTGACTTCACTTTTCCATCCAGGTCACATTACAGCGTACATTTCAGATATATTTGGTAAGTTATTACTTTTGGGGAATATTTGCCTTCATTAGACAGAACAGTGAGCGAGGAGGACAGGAAGTAAGTAGAGAGAGGGGAACAGAATCAGGAAAAGACCTTCAAACTCAGGTTGCCTGCTGTGCTGCTGCACCATATTTTAAAGCACTGGTGTATTTCATGTATTTTAAGCACAAAATAACCTGTATAATTTATATATAGACTATAAAACTATAAAATTAGGCTTACAGCATAGTTTGTTACTGTTGACTAATATCTTTTTTTTTAAATACACCATAAATGTATTTTCTACTATGAATCACAAGGTTGAGAACCTCTTGTTTGCAGTTTGCATGAAGGATATGTGCTTATTCAATGACATCACCTTTGAAACTACATCCAGTGCGTATGAAAAAGAGACAGATTTCATTGTGATCCGCTTCACTGACGGAGCTACTTGATTTGTGTCTGGTGCGTCCTTTCACTGCAGGTAGAGCTACTGAATGAAATGAGACATGGAGGAGAAAAACAAAACAAGCACAGCAGTAATCTACAGCTATTTTGTTCAGTGCAAAATAACGTGCTAAATTACAAAACAAACTGAATCAGTTCCTCTTTTTCTTTCATTCACCTGTCTCACTCTTCTTGAAAGCTGAAGCAATCAGTAACTTGATCTTGTAAAGCCTGTGGAGTTTTCGCATGTTTTCTGGACCGAGTCCTCGGGTGTTCAGGATTTTCTGAGCATTTGCATCGAAGCAGTGGGCCCTTTTGCAAGCTGCTCCAAACTTACAGTCGTCCTGCAGGAAGTGCAGGCAGATGTGCAGGTTGGTACAGGATGTCTTATATTTACAGCTGCCGTATTCGCCATTTCCCTTGTTGTAGTGGGAGCACACCTAGACAGTAGACACATCACAACGTCAGGAGTCACACATTGTGTATAATGTACAAATTACATTACACACTATAAGAAGATTATTATATTAAAGGGGTCATATGATGCGATTTCAATTTTTCATTTCTCTTTGGACTGTTACAAGCTCTTGGTGCATAAAGAAGATCTGTAAAGTTACAAAGACTAAAGTCTCAAATCCAAAGAGATATTCTTTATAAAAGTTAAGAGTCAGCCACACCTACCTAAAACGCCTCGTTCTAACACGCCCCCACATACCTACGTCACTCTATGGGAATATTTGCATAATGCCGCCCAAATGTTCACGCAAAGAAAGAAGGCGTAACTTTTATTCTCGCTGTAGTATTGTTGTTGCCGCCGCCATGTCGTAAAGACGCTGTGTGCTTCATTGGGAGACTCACTTCTAATTAAAACACAATACACTAAAGTGCACTGAACACCTAATAAATCCTGTTTAATATGTGTGCATGTAATGGACAAATGGTACAGTATCTCATACCCCTTGATTTTGCTCTTGACATCTTGGGCAGAAACAAAACGTGGTCTCCTTCTAACGTCTCTTTCAGTTTTGTACTTCAGATTTTGCTGGCACATCTCTGAAAATGATTCGCCATTATGTGCTTTTGACATTGTTTTTTTCTATTTAGCTTCAATTTATTTTTATTTTAATAATTAAAAAAAAACTTAAATTATTTTGTTTAATGTTGCAAAAGCAACATTTCTAATGTTCATTTCAGTTTTTCATCTTCTATTTCACGAAAGAAAAAAATTTGTTTTTGTTAACAGTAATAACACTTAAGTACCTTTAAATTTGAGGATGTATTGATGGCTCTGTGAAGTGAATGAGATTTCCTTTTCATTGTCAGCCAGGTACTGTTTCTCAAGATCTTCTGAAGTGACTGACGCCACGAGTTTAGAATCTTCCTGAAACTGTAACAATAGAAATGTAGTTAAAAGCTAACTGATTTTGGTATAATATATCGACAAATAATTGCTATTCTACATCATGTTAAATGTAACATCACAGATGATTTTTCAAACTCAGGTTCTAGAATTGCTTCTGAGAGGTATTATGTTGAAAATGTGTCACTGACCCCTTTGCCATACTCTGTCCAACCTCCTTTGTCATTCCTCCAGTACCAGATCCATTCAGTGGTCAGAATGAAGTGAGGGGGTTTAGTAACAGAAGACGCTGTGGACAGCCGACGCACTTCTGACACTCCACATGTCATTGACATAAAGTTAACCACTACTTGGTGCCCTGTGCTGCTCTTAATAATACTGTAACATGGAGAACACAACAGGAGTGGAAAATGGTGTTAAAAAGGCAAGACAAGCCACTATACAATACTGGCCACTTCAGAAAAACATGCTAATACAAATATTTAATTGTGCACTAAATGTTTTTTTCCCCCTTAATAATAAAGTTACATTTTGCAAATAAAGATACGAATACAAAAAGTTTAAAATCATGTGCACTCACATCACATCAATAACCTAATAAAAGCATTTTAATTTACATATTGAGATCACATGACCAGCTGAATACGACTATTTTTTTCCCAGTAACTGTTCCTCTTATTGGACACTTGCTATCACAGAATTGATTAATCACAGCTGACAGTGCATTTCTGCAGTGGCATCGGTAACTGGGATGTGATGGAATGATAGATTTTCAATATGAATGCTATCTGAAAACCCATT